CCCTCCTGTCACGAACTGTACCGTCTCATAATAGTTTTATTTTCCTGACGTTCATGATTCCGTCGGAAATCCTTAATCATAAATAATGGAAGCATAATCTAAGTCATGCGCAAATAGGGGTTAAATATGCACAGATTGCACGGTATTTATAGTTCGTAGCGGTCATCCGCGTGCGCATTATAATTATCCACTCCTATAGCCACTGCTTGGGTTTTAACTGGTGCGGTTATGGCTTGACATTTCGCGTTCGACTCATTAATTGCCGCGATTTCCTTGTACGTGTTGGATGCCGGCTTGGTAATTGCGCGACAGTTATGCTCGCTGTCGTCCGAGTTGTAGTTGCTGAGCCCGGTCCTTCCCATGCGACTGATTCTGTTGTTCAGGCAATGTCGCAGTACACCGTATTGGAAGGCCAAATCGTTGCGCTTGTTAATGGACTGGGGACCTGAGAACCATGACTCCAGCAGCTCGCGGCTCACGCGGTCGTCACCTCTTGCGAGGATTTCAGCCTCGTCAAACTTGAAAAAATGGCCGGTTCCCGTCGAATGAGCTGCAACCTGGGAGTTGGCGTACAATCTGTGCATGTTTCACCCCTATCTGCACATGACTCAGACTATCCTACCATTACCTATGATTAAGGACTCCCGACGGAATCTCAAACGTCAGGAAAATAGAACTCTTGTTCCAGTGGCCGCATCTTCTTCTTCTTCTAAAGGAAGAAAAGGTTGCGACGAAAATTCTCCCAACAAATGGTAGATAGATTAACCTTAAGACTGCACCCCAGACGAAAAAGACATGGAATGATGGGTACAATGAAGTCTAAAGTAAACGCAACGCACCTTCTCCTTGTTGGCCAGTATGTGAGCAGCCTTCTCCTTGTACTCCGACAAGTACCGCGAAACACGACTCACTTCGCGCTGGGTATGGTCGGCCCTGGCAGTGGACAGTTCAGCCTGCTTGCGTGCCTCGGCAGCCTTGGCTTCACTCTCCGCCTGCAAACAAAAACGGGGAAAACTGTCTTGTACGGCAGCTCACATATATATATATTCTCCCGCCCAACTGTCTTGCGTAATTTGTGGTTAGACATTTTCTTCCTGGGAAGCAAGTGCAAATGAATATTTAGCTGTGTTGGAAGTAAGCATTAAAGGAACTTATATTTGCTTCAATTTACTAGATCAAATCCGTCAATCCTGTTGCTCAGGCAACTGATGCCCATTGAGGGAAATTCTACCTTATATTGGCGGAATTTAACGAAAAAGGGAATTTCGGCCTTATATTGGCGGAATTTAACTAAAAAAGAGATGTCGGGTTACTGAAAATATAAAAGTAGGTTATTGTTATAAGTCAAAGGCAAAAAAGGATATCTTAAGACAGTCCTGTCCAAAAACAAGATAGTTTAAACAGCCCGCCTGATGAAAACAGCAAAAATTGCCAGTACGCGGCTGGACTGAGACTTGCCAGTGACCGTTCGATCGCGGCCAACTTCTGGGAAAGAAACTCCAGCCTCGATTTCAGACTACGATTCTGTCGGAAGAGATCGGATGTGCCTTTGGCATTGTCTACCTCAGCGAATTTGGCATTAGCCTCCTGCAGCTGCCTCTCAAGTTCAAAGACCTAAGAAGAGGAAAGGAAAGTTTCGATGAACCCGGGAAGACACATAACGGTTGTGTCACCTCAAAAACGAACAGCAAAGCAGTTCATCCACAAAAAATCAGTCAGTGCGTTAGGAGATGGACTTTGAAGGCAATGAAAGATCGGAGGTGGTAAAATTGGCATCTTAGCAGGCTTATAGCCCGTATTTTGAGCGGGGGTGGGGCTCGCTTTAGGCGTAAGATTTGCCTTCCACTAGGAGACAGCTCCGAAAAAAAGTAGCTTGGGTTTTGTTTTGTGACTTACGGCCAGAATGTTGCCTTCGAGGATAAAATTCAAAGACTTGGAGACGCATTAGACTGAGAGATTTAGAGGGCCACCGATTATCAGTCATTGTTATTTCCGGCTGAACAAGTTTGACATTCTCCACGTCCTTTCTCCAGCAAAAATCCTGGTAGACCTACAAATGATTGGTTCCCTCTTACGAAGGCCTTTCCCCTTCCGCGTGTCCTTCCTCCAAGAATGCTACCCCTCTTGACCTTTTAGTTTCCAGCCGAATGGCACTGGTGCTACAACTAGCCAACCCGGCTTTCGGCTCCACTACCTCAAGGGCCAACTCGCTCTCTCGACCGCCCACACGAAAGTTGACTAGACACAGCGGCCATCGAGCAAGGCTGACCTGAAAACCACTTGACAAACTTGCTTGTGCACACTTATATCACCCGTTGGTTGGTTAGTAGCCCACTGTTGGATCAGGGGTCCCCACCGGAGTCCAAACTGGATGCATCTGGGAGACGGAGAAAAGCCGAGTCTTCGACCGGCTTGAGTCAAAGGTTCGTGGGAGTGAGTTGGGTGCCTGTCTAGGAACTGCAGGCGAACAGATGCCGACAGTCATGCGGAGAAATGCCGCAATTGGGACAGCTATCGGGTGTGGACGGGTCGAGTCGGTGTTGGTACTGGCGCAGGACCATTGAGCAGCCACTGCGTAGTTGAGCCAGAGTACAGCGAGTGACCCTCCGAAGTTGTTGTTCTGAGGCCGTAATCGGAGGTGGATAGCCGCCCAAAAGGACGGTGGGGTGATAGCTTCGTT